TTCTTTCTGCTGTGCTGCTTTGCAGGTCTCTTACTACACCTCTAAATCCAAGCAGGAGGAGATCGACAGCCACACCATAGATGGGTTCCCTTTATTCCTCATCACTTACGCCTGCGCTATAAGCTTCTCTGTGATATCCTGCCTGAGGTAAGGAGTGATCAGCGGCTGCCACGCAGAGTCAAACGCAGGACACAGAGAGCTGTTATTTATCAGTTTGAGTGATGAAAGAGTGACAAACACAGGAAACACTGAATAATTTCTGACTTAATGGGCTCAAAGATGAGTTGCTATAAATAAAAGCACTTAATGTCAGTGTGTGTGTATAAGGGGTAAAATAAAAATGTAAGAAAAAGTTTTAATTTTGCAAACTTCATAAAAAATTTGATGTATATTATTTAATTTGTGAATTCTTGCAGAAGTTTCACATAAAGTAATATAAAAAATTGCAACTTGAAATGTTTTGATATCCAGAGATTTCTATAAATGTAACTTTTATTTTAAAAAATATTTTCTTTTTACATTTTTGTTGAAACTGTCATTATGTCGTGACAGTATGTTATGAGACAGATAATCATTGAGCTCCTCTGTCTTCTCCCAGGGCTAATTAGAAACAACCAGTCGGTCATTAGCATTGTCAATCACCGCTCATGCTAGCTATGCTACAACTAGCATGTCCTGTTGAGAACCCTAGGCTACTTAGCATGGTCATGGTTTTTATGTATCTGTAAGTTGTTTTTTGACAATTAGCATGTCTACAAGCGGGTACCCAATGTTGATTGACAACATTAAGACCCTCCTCCTGGCTTTGATTGGTTATCGGGAGCAACAGACAGCAGTAGTAGCTCATAGAGAAGATTAATGTTTTCACAGATTATCTGACTCATAACTTCACAACAGGGTAAAAACAAACTCTTTATGTAAGTTGCATACTGCAGCTTCAATAAAATAATATATATCATAAATAATTGTTTAACATCCCTGGCAGATCGGACCATGTCAGGAACAAAATGTGGGTGGCTGTTTTTGGTGTTTTAACCTCTGGGTTAGCAGTCATCTCCTCTTTCGGCTTGCTGCTTTACATCGGAGTGCCGTTTGTCATAACCGTGGCCAACTCTCCTTTTTTAATACTTGGTGAGGAAGCAAAACAACATCTTTCTAATTCAACATCATTTGAGCAGATGCTAAAACAAGCATGTAATTTTTATTTTTCCTAGGAATTGGCCTGAACAACATGTTCATCATGGTGTCCGACTGGCAGCACAGCCATGTGAACGACCCCGTACCGAAGCGGATGGGTCACACCTACAAGGAAGCGGTGATGTCCATCACCATCACCGCCTTGACTGACGTTCCCAAGTTCTTCATTGGCGTCATGTCTGACTTCCCGTCAGTGCAGTCCTTCTGTCTGTACACCGCCACCTCCATCATATTCTGCTACATCTACACCATCACCTTCTTTGGTGCCTTCATGGCTTTAAACGGCAGGCGAGAGGCTAGCAACCGGCACTGGCTAACCTGCATGAAAGTCCCATCAGAGAAGTTGGTGAACCAGACGGAGATGTACAACATCTGCTGCGTGGGAGGCAGCTACGATAAGCTCACAGGAGCGGAGAAAAAACAACCAGTGAGTAATTTCTTTAAGGATTACTACGGACCTTGTTTGATGAAACCATGGGTTAAAGGCATAGTAGTCCTTGTTTATCTGGCGTATTTAGCTACGAGCGTGTTTGGATGTTTCCATATTCAGCAGGGAATTGAACTTTATGATCTGGCAGCTGATGACTCTCATGTTACAAAATTCATCATTAAAGACAGGAAGTATTTTTATGATTATGGCCCATCTGTTATGGTCATTGTAAAAGGGAATTTGGCCTACTGGGATAAGGATAAAAGATCTCAACTTCAGGCATGCATAGAAGACTTTAAAGAGCTCCACTTCATTGATAGAGACGTCTACACATCCTGGTTGGACTCTTACTTGTCTTATGGTCAAGAGAAACATCTAAACCTCGATGATAAGAATGTTTTTCTCTCAAATCTGCCTCCATTTTTTGATTTATATCCATATTTTAAGCAAGATGTGAACCAGACCGGAGATGCCATTCATGCATCCCGGTTTTTCATCCAAACTGTGAATATTACCAAAGCCAGCGAGGAAATTGAAATGCTCAAAATCCTCAAATCTACTGTAGGTAGATGCCAGGCAGCATCTTTATTGGTCTACAACCATGAGTTTATCTACTTTGACCAGTACGACGTTGTGGTGAAGAGCACCATTAAAAACGTCGGGGTTATCACGGCTGTGATGTTCGTCGTCTCTCTCCTGCTGATTCCCAACCCGGTCTGCTCCTTGTTGGTCACTTGTTCGATCGGTTCAGTCACTGCTGGGGTCAATGGGTTCATGGCTCTTTGGAACATCACTCTGGACTCCATATCCATGATCGTCTTCACCATCTGCATTGGATTCACCGTGGACTTTTCTGCTCACATGTCCTATGCCTTTGTCTCCAGTGAGAAGCCCCGTCCCAAAGACAAGGCCGTGGACGCTCTGTCCAGTCTGGGTTACCCCATCGTTCAAGGTGCCCTGTCCACAGTTTTAGGCGTATCAGTGTTGTCCATGTCTGAATTTCATACCTTCAGGACCTTCTTCAAGATTTTTTTCCTGGTCATGTTTATTGGGATGGTTCATGGCCTTGTTTTTATGCCGGTATTCCTGTCAGCTGGTACATGCTGCGCAGATAAAGACGAAAAGCAAGAGGACGATTTAAAATCCAGTAAATTTTGACCACTGGAGGGATGGTTGGACCATTTTAGGCTCAATGACTGAATGTACATATATTTTAAGTTATTTTCATTTGTTGTCTGGGATTAATAATGTATTTTCCAGTATTGCAAATAAATGTCACAGCATTTGATTTTGTTGCATCATTTTGTGCTTCTGAGGTTTATGTATCTGCAAAATAAATAAAAACGACAAGCTATTTCAGACTTACCCAACAACAGTCCATCACAAGGCCAGCACAGACCCACTAAGAACCACTGAACACACACAAACCTTAGTGATTTAAAATGATTGAACAGGTTTTAATACCAGGCAAAGATACCCTGAGCAAATACAAAAATGCAGTTTACGTTTACAAAAACTCTATAAAATAATACAGGTGTATTTGTTAGTGTTAACTAGTGTGTTTGGAATTTTAAGGGACTTTACAAGAAAAAAGTTGATTAAATAAAAGCATATCTAGTCCAATTGATCGTATTTATCAAAAAATGCAGTCAAGTTGAGTTTATTATTGAAATTGGTTAAGTTTCAATAATATGACCATTTATGACAATGATTGGTTTGAAATCACTTTTCGTTGCCAATTATTATTGTTTGTTTGGATTAGTGTATCCTGTTAAGGATATGTAAGTGTTTAGAAACAAAAGCCAAGAGATCTTCCAGGTCTGACTTGAAATATCTTCCATCTTTCCACGGAGCACTTGGGTCGACTCTGGGCTCTGCCACCCTCCGTCACGCCTGTCTTCTCTCACCACTGGACGAGATGCTTCTGGTCCACACAGCGTGACGTGACAGGCCCAAACACCCTCAGGGGAAAAGGAAGATGGATGAAATTTAAGAGCTGAACCTAGGAAGCAAAAAAGAATGACAATGAGGAGAATAGCTTGTTTTTATCAAACCCTGATTAATTCAGCAAACATGTTTAATGTCAATTTTTCTTGTATCTTGGGTAATAAATTACATTAAATAGTTTAAAGTTGTTAATGAATTCAGGTGTCAAACTTACTGAAGGGAAAACGCAGTAAGAAAGAAAAAAATGATCACCTATTTTCTATTCTATGACTGAAATTGCTCTCTAACTTATGCTAGCAGCGAGCTAATGTAGCTAAAGTTAGCTTTTAAAGTAACAGAAACAACAAGCTGACATTCTGATTTTACATTTGATTCTATGCTGAGTAATGAACAGAGGATAAATAATCTTCTGGAGTTTGTTCTACTTTTAAACTAATGTTTAAAAGGAGTTTATCTATTCACACGTTTAGCAGCTGGCTAAGCGACATGCTAGCAGCTAGTGCTAGTATTAGTTTAGCTGTGGCATAAAAACTATTTAAGTTGTTCATATTTAATGTCAGTTTTTTGTAAATATTGAGAAACTTTACATACAAGATATAGTTGGTTAGAAACTAATTACATGGACTCAGTTATATTTACATAATTACAAAATACTTTTAGGAGTATTTGTACTATTTTATATTTAAATATTAAATCAATTACTCAGTACTTGGGTATACTTTTTACCAAATACTTCTTTACTCTAAAGTAATTTCTTGGACGGCTACTCTTGATTTTTACTTCAGTAAAAACATGTTGAAATAGTTGAGTAGCCTATTTTTTGGTACTCTGCCCAGCTCTGAGTATGAATAGGGATACTTCATAATTAAGTTACTCAAGTAAAAGTAAAGAAGTAGGCTACAGCGTAAAAATGTATTTTTACTCAAGTGAAAGTAACTGAGTAAAAATAACCACCAGCTCTGTGTAAATCCGGTTCTCATTTGGAGTAAATCAGGCGCTTTCCTCTCCGGCTGCCTCAGCACCCTGGACAGCGGCTCTCCGCTCCACCAAACGCGGCTCGGTGATTGACAGAAGCGGCGGCCATAGGCGGACCGATGCCGCTCCCGGAGCCCTATGAGGCGGACGGGAAGACTTGGAGGGGGCGCTCGGATCCTGACGCGGTTCTCCCCGGCTTCCATAGGCCCGCTCGGTGTTTGCCGCGGTCGGAAGAGGGCGGAGTGCGTTTTGCTCATCCAAGTGAGGAGCTCCCTGACTTTTAAGAAATATATAAATATAATAACAACAAGGCTCTTTCTCTAGCCCTCCCTCCTTCCTTCCGTGTCGTTTTGATTCAGTGTATGTAGCCCACACGCAGGGGGAGAACATCCGCCGCACAGCAGAGCCAAGACTGAGGGGGGATCTTCAACATCAACAAGCTGCATGAGGCATCTCTGACAAGAGAGAAAAGAAGGACTATCTGCCTGATTCCAGCAATAGAGGTGCAGGTGTTTCAGAAATATCCTACAAGTGGTGATGCGATGGTTTAGAGGAGCAGTTTTGGTCGATTCTTCACATCACGCCCGCCCGACGACGCTGTAAAATCCCCCCGCTTCCTCTTCAGACATCTGTGGACGCTTTCTGCAGGGGGAGATGGCTGTTTTCCGGCTCTCGTTGCTGCTGCATGTGGGCTTTGTGATCGGGTCGAGCCGGTTCGACGCGGACCGGTCAGCCGTCGGGGAGGTGGAGGCGAACCTGGGCGCTCGGCTGGCGCACCTCCGTGCGCCTCGCCTCGTTCCCGGGGAGAAAGCGGAGGAGCATCTGCCCCGGGTGGTCACGGCTTTCCTGCACACGGGGGACTCGACCACCTTAAGCCACGCCAACTGCTCGAGAAAGTACGAGCTCACCTCTCTGCTGCGTGGAAGGTCACACGAAACCCCGCATTACTCCATGAGCGGCGTGTTGGAGACGGTGCTGCACGCAACCAACTTCCTCACCATGATCCTGCAAGCCAACAGGTCCAGGGAGCACAACCTGCGGCGAGACATGGAGTGGTACCAAGCCCTGGTGAGGAGCATCCTGGAAGGGGACGCCAAGATCCACCGGGCGTTGGTCACTTTCGGCGGAGATGCGTCGTTTGCGGGGCCCCCGGTGCTCCTCCAAGCCACCAGGGCCGGCGGGGAGATTGTGCTCCAAGATCTCCCCCGCATGGCGCGCCGCCATCTGCACAACCGCACCGCGGACACCGAGTGGTACCACGGGATGAGGGAGAAGCAGGAGCCCAGGTTCCACAAAAGGGTTCTGAGTAAAGGTGGTGACGGACCACCGGAAAGAGCCGAGAGTTTCATCCCGGACCGAACGCATGTCAAGTGGTCTGCGCCTTACCTGGAGTGTGAAAATGGGAATTTTGTCCCCCGTTGGCTTCTGACCCTGTCCGCAGCTTTCTACGGCCTGAAGTCCAACCTGGACCCGGAGTTCAGGTAGAAACGCCGACAATTAACTTCAGTTTGTTAATAGAGTATAATTACTGTAATTTATGGGCCAACAGGTCCAATTCATGTCTAGTTATAATGTTCGACTCAGTTCTGCTCCGACTCAGCTTGGAAAAGTCTAGAGTTTAAGTTTAAGTCTGGATGGAAGAAGTAAGAATTTCCGGGCTTAATTGGCAAATCCAAACATTGTAACCATTCCACCATTATTCGATGCTTCGATTCATTACTTTGACGATTAATCCGTTAAAGTAATGGATTTCTTTCTTTTTAATTAAATTTTTAACATTTAATTTTTTGACATCAGAGTTATTTGTTTGCAGAAATGCATATAAATAACCAATTAACTTATTTTTTTAATAAGAAAATGAAACTTTTAAAATGCAGAACATTCCTTTAGTGTGTGCTTGATCATTCCGAGCAAAGGATGCAGAAAAACATTCCTCTAACATCATCCTGTGAAAAGTTCAGCCCTGTTTCACTACAATACTATGGAAGACTGATCTCTTGATTACTTTATGGATTAATTGATTAACAAATGAATAGAAAGGAACTTAAGAGATTTTTTATAGTAATTTGAACCAGGTGGTGCTAAAATTATGCCTATTGAGGAGGTTTGGCAAGAACATATTTGTAAATGTGTTTATAATTAGCATTTTTTTGCCTGTATAATGATTGCTAAATTAGTTGATTATTTCAATAATTGATCAATCACGATTAATCTCTTCAGCCCCAGTTCCATCTGTTTTAAAAAAAGGTCAGTTTATCCATCCAGTCAATTTTCATAATAAATTTATGATTTATTACTTTGTATACTGGTAAAAAATGTTATAAAGTCTTGATAAAATGAATAAATCCCATAATATTAACAGTTGAATCGAAGCCATTTGATGCTGTAACTATAAAGTGGTGAAAAGTTGGATTGAGTCATCAATTTTGCAGGAATCCCAAATAACTAAACTGTTTTGATAACATTTTATTCTCTTATGATTAACTAACATGAAGCACTATGTCGCCAATTAAAACAAATTAATAATATGTGACTTCAGATTGGTTTATTCAGCACTTCATTTCCGAATCTGGAGAGTCTTCCCTGAGCTGATTCCCCCTCCAGTCGCGCAGCCTCTCACCGACTTCCCTCTCCTTACAGGAGGGGGTTTCTCCTCTCCTCCAGTCTGACAAGGCGGCGGGATGCTAAAAATAACCTTGATGTTACTGGATGTAGCTGCGGTGGAAAACCTCTGGCTACAGGCCCTAATTCATTTTTCAGACTCACTCGTCTGGATGCTTTGCTGCACAGGAAGTGTCGCGTGTCATTTCTTTTTTTTTTTTCCATCCCCCTCCATGAGAAGCTGTTTCTAAAATCTGACAAATACAAACGAGGCAACTCTTAACGCCTTGGTTGCACCTTTATGCTATAAAATGCTGTTTTTTTCCTTTCAGAATCCACATGTGCTGGTGATTGGCTTGTTGTGTTGTGCTGCTTTTACTTGATCTTTAATTGATACGCTCGGGTTGCTCAGACACAAGCATTAATTGCAAATGAGACCAAAACCTGCGGTGATTACGCTGTAATAGGCTATCAGATAGCAGACATTATCCCAGTCCGAAGCCTCTCAGAGCAGCTTTACATGTTTAGACTGGAGCAATTTGATTGCAAATTCACAAAGCAGCGCCTGAGGTGATGAATGCGATCACACTCCCATCTTTTGTTAGCATCTGAAACTTCACTCCAAGAAAAAAAAATCTGGTTTACATTTTGTTATGCTGAATGCAAGTACATTCAAACATCGATTAGTAATTAAATGGTTGTAGAATTAAGTTGGTACTGTTTCTTATTGCCCTGCAGAGGGAAAGCTCATAATGATGAGCTTTGGTGAGCTTTTGATATGCTTTTGATGAGCTTGTGTTTGTTTGTTTTTATGTATTAAAAACAAACAAACAAAGCATTGCTGCTTAATTACTGCCGTTCTTTAGTTGGTCATATTTGGTCGTCTAAGCTAATTTACCTTTGGAGCCTTAGGCAGGTTGAAGCTAATATTTATTTCACAATTCAAGATGGATAGTCTTTTAAAGCTATGAAGTATAAATACAGAACACAGAGAAGAAGGTATGAAAGGTCAATGGATGGATGAATAGATGGATGGATGGATTAACAGTTGGGTGTTTGGATGGATGTTTTGCTTCTTGCTGATCTGTGTTTTTTATCGCTGATGAACCAAAATGTCCATCAGATGTGAGAAAATGACTGTGAAAATCAAACAAACTGAGTCTGCAGCGTTTTTGGGGCCGAATCCGAACCTGGAGTTAGAATTAAACCGATCGCATGCTTCCCTCCCGTCCTCTGTTCATTAGAGCCGATGCATTCGTTGGTGTTTTCACGTCACTGAAAACCTTCACAGCTTGATTTAATGCTCAGCTTTGAAATTCAAATTACATCCTCAAATAGGCTTAAAGTGTTCTCTTAATAATAGTGGAGCATTTGAGGGCCACAAAGAAATCCTTTGTTCTTCTGAATACTTTCTGTCACGTCTCATTTCTCTGTTTGTTTGTCAGCCGTCCTTCAGATGCATCAGTGGGAAAAACGCTGGTTGGTTTAGCCAGTAGCTTCTTCAGACACCAGCTCTCCTCATTTTCCCTCCAGATAAATACACAATCAATACCAGGATGAATTAATAATGAATGATGTAGAACAACAGCTCTGCACGGACGATGTGTATTTCCAGCCTCTTAGTGATTCCGGTTTCAGGTGATGATGTTGCAAGAAGCAAGGTGACTTCTTAGTACTTTGTCTGTCCTCGTTCTCTGATTGCATTAATTCTCTGACTGTTTCATACAGCTTGTATGACAAAGGATGTTTTCACACCTGATAGACTCATAGACTTGATTCAATTTGCGAAGAAAATGTAACATTTGTTACATTTCCAGTTAGCGGTTTGCTGTCACACTTCACTGTATCAAAAGAAAAACCTGTTCCCCTCCTCACCTGTGGTGGCACTACACCAAGAACCATTGAAAGATGCTCAGATGCACAAAAAGGCACTAAACTTTGTTGATATTCCACTAATGTTGAAAAAGCAAAATTTTGCAATCAGATGTGATAAGTGATTTAAAAAAAACCCATCATCCTCGCACCACTTCCTGTCGTCTATTTCATCATTTCTGCCAGTAGTATGTCTTGTTGGACAACATTCACCTTCATCTCTGGATCACTTTTGTTGCCAACCCATATGATTCATTCTATGCTGAAAAAAACCGTCTAGTGTGACCATGTCTTAAATTTCAGATATGGTCTTAAAAAGTCTTAATTTTGAGTTGCAGAAACTTTCAGAAACCCCGATATAAAGGAATGAGTGCTGACTCCAGACTTTTCCCTTATTTTAAATCCACCTGCTGTTTCCGAGAAGGTGTAAGATATCACACTGCTCATGCTTTATCTCTTTTTCCTGCTAACTTCCTACAAAACTGCCTATGTTTTCAAGCTGTTAGTGTGTATACGTGTTGATGGTATTGTTGGAGTTTCAGACATTTTGTGGAGTGATGCTGCGCCGTCCTAATTGGCAGATCACTCTGAGCTCAGATGCAATGCCGAAGACACAAAGTGGAGACGCACAGGAAGAAAAATGAGTCAGCAGGTGGTGAACAGACTTCAAACTCACCTTGCACAGCAGAAGCTGTAATTGCTTTAGGAAGGGGAAGCTCACATAGAAGCAGCAGCAAAATAAGAGAAATTCATTGAATTTGACTGAGAAATGCAGACGTATGATGGAGATTTTTCAAGAGGCTAAATGGGCTCTAAACAGACAGCAGATTTCTCATTATTAGGGCTTCGCTTTGCTTCCATATATGTGTGTAAAACCAGCTGTAAAGTTGGACGGCTTGACTTCGATGGGAGGCCATGAGCTCCAGGAGGACCTGGCAGCATCTGCTTCCATGGACACCGTCCAGAAACAAATAGGAAGAAACTCCCAACAGTTCCCGAGGCTAAACGCGATCAAGCTTGATGCTAACTCGAGCCGAAGCAGTGTAGGTGTTAAAAAAACGAGGCGCTTCATGATGAGAAACAGTGAAGATCTGCAGCAAAGCATAGCAACAAGAGTCCTGCTGAAGTATTCCACTTTAGCTTTCTGACCCAATGAGGACAGAGGAATGAGAGGAGAAGTTGAAGTGAGCGTGACCTCGGAGCGAGCGGGGGTTAAAGACCCCCGAGGTGATCCTCCTGACGTCAGTGGGGCTCCGCGGCTCAGTCAGGTGGCCTGTTGATGCGTTGCCCTCAGCCTCTAAATGTCAGAGTTTCAGAAAATAGAAGCACTCAGGCTTTCTGCTGCGAACACAGAGATGTATGCGCTTGATGTTACTGGAGAAACTGGGGAAAATTTTTTAGCTTTATTCACATAAATTGAGTATTTGAATTCACCCCATGGATTGATTTAGTTTATTTGCAAAATAGCTCAAGCCTTGTTGACTGGATGGAGAATGTAATGTGGACACCAGATTTAACAATTTAGATTTATGTCTGTACTTTGGGTAGGCTATGCTAACTAATGTTAGCATTGCATCCTGCTGAAAAACCTCTGCACTGCAAAACCACAAAATCTTACCAAGTATTTTTGGTCTAGTTTCTAGTGCTAATATGTTAGTGCACTTGAAATAAGTCAAAAGTAACTTACAAGTATCTTTTTAGCAAGATATAGAGGCTTGTTTTAAATAAATAATTATTTAATGTTTCCATGTTGTAAGTAACCTGTTATGTTTCCTTAAACAGGTTAGGGCAGGTCTATGGGCGATACAAAACAGTCATTGCCTTTTTCCCCCCACAAAATTAGTCCTGAAAATGAGATTTCAGTCTGCTCAGTTCTTTCTATCTATAGCTCCTTTTCGGGCATCTTGTCACTTTAAACCCAAATAAGTTATTGCTGGCCTCTCACCCCTCAACTCAGCGTTTACATTCGGACGTGAAAATGGCTGCCATCAAATGCACAATTATACAA